TATTTTGATAAATTATTATAATTATCAAATTTTATTTTGTCAATAATTGCTTGATATACTCGCTATATAATAATTTTGTAACAATCGCATAACAAATATTTTGATATATTGTAAGAATATCTTCGCTAAATCAAGTTGCCAACATCATGGATGTTGCAGGCAATTCGAATGTAAGCTCGGCCGGCGTCGACCTTCCTGTTGTATCGACATATTCCGGTCAGACTAAACAAAGTATGATTTCGAGTATTCCGATTTATGGCATTATAATTTATGACATATTAATTTAAATGCTGTAAAAAGATTAATATATCTCATTTTACTAAATATTAAACAAGTAAACACTAAAATCAAATTAGAAGTTTGTGTGGAGGCAAAAATAGCTAAATTAGTGTTTCCTTCGGTCGAAAGAAACACGAAACCAATGGAATTAATATCTTACAATATTTTCTTTGGGAAATTGTCTCAAACATCCTTTTGGAAATTGCCATAGACTCCATATTTTATTCTTGTGAAGGCTCACGATTTCTTTATCCAAGTTCTTTATTACATTCCAAGGAATTTGGGGAAAAAAAAATTGTATTGTATTTTGTTAGTGATTTTAGTGTAACTGGATTTATTCGAGACCAATGGCTACTGGGATTACGTGAAATTTAGGATGGGACGCATGGAGTGGGCGCTCGGAGAACCAAATTTTTTTGACATAATTTTGACTAGTGATGTATATCTAATTCCGGGAATGATATATGCAACTTTAGTCATGGGCATGAATAACTCTGTCATGCACCAATCTCGAATGTTAGTAATTAAGTTCAATGGAAAAAATATAATAGTTAATTTAGTCATGGTCTTGACTAAGTGGTATGTGCTATTATGAAAAATTTCTAGAATTTTAAATTCGAAATTATGTTTAGTTATGTTTAGTAATTTAGTCATGTGTCTAATAATATTTAAGATTATGAATTCAAACATATGTTTGAATTGAATCAACATATTAGTTCATTTTGAATTCAATCCCTTCATTTTGCAATTGAAAATTTAAATTGTTATATGTTTAATTTAAATAAAAATTTACTTGTGGTCTATAAATAGATATTGTTGGTCTCATTTTCGGAATGAGAAAAACATACAAATATTTTTATCCCTGCATAAATTATTGCCTCCATACACATCTATTACGAATGTTTATGTTATCACAATATTTTCTATCAAAATTCAAGATTGGACTTTGTATTATTCCAATATGTATTTTGTGTAACCCTTGGTAGGAATTGAGTCAAAATATCATATTAAAAAAGTTACCTTATCACGATAGAAAATTATATCCAGTCATTTTATTTCTAACACCAATTCCATCCCCAACAATTGAATATGATATTTTCAAGATGAACATGCCGTGAAACTCTCAATGACATAACGACCAAGTTTACCAAGCTTACAAAGTTCGATGTCATGGATTATTGTCGTTGGAAGAAGAAGATGTAGTTCTTTCTCACCACTTTCAAGGTCATTTTTGTCGTGCACACTCCATGCCCGATGAAACATAAGATGAAACATTGAAGAAAGCCCGTCACATGAGTAAATGTAATAATTATAACTAACTTTGTTATGATTACATTTTTAATGAAGTGTCAGATCAACATTTTGACACTTATAGCAACATGGATTCAACCAAAAAGCTTTGGGAAGAACTCAAATATAAATACATGGTTGAAGACGCATCGAAGAAGAAAATTTTGGTCAAAAACTTTAACAACTACAAAATGGTAGATTTGAGGCCTGTAATGGAACAATACAATGAGCTCTATCATATCTTTGGTCAGTTCATGTAGCACAACTTGAAAATGAATGAATCCATGGATATTTCATATATCATCAACAAGTTTCTGCGTGCATGGAAAGAATTTAAGCAAACACTTAAACACAATAAGAAGGAGTTGACACTTGTACAACTTTTTAGGCATCTATGCATAGAAGAATCTCTAAGAGCGCAGGAAAATAGTAAAGGCAATTATATTGCCGGAACTTCAAACATGGTTGAGAATTGAAAGAAGGACAAATCCTCAAAAGAAAGCAGTGGTCAGAAACACAAATTCAATTATTCTAACAAATGCTTTAATAAGAAAGCCAAAAATGGCTTGTTAGATTTGTGGTAAATTTAGGCACCTTAAATGCAATTTTCGTGTTAGAAAAGGAAGTTGTTATGCTAGCCTTAGCAAAGGAGAAAAAGAATCAAATGATCCTTCCCAAAACCAAGGGTTGGATTTAGTGAATGTTTGCAACAATTCGGGTAAGCATGTTGTATCACTTATTTCTAAAGCATTTTATATGAAAGATGATGTGTTTGCTTGGTGGATATAATCCGGCGCCACATCACATGTATGTAAAAATCATTTTTGGTTCAAAGATTATCATCACATGAACAATAGCTCGGTGTTGTACATGGGGGACAATCACGATGCTTCAATTCTTCGACATGAGAAATTGACATTGGAATTTAGTTCTAGGAAATATATTAGTTTGTGTAAAGCTTTCTATGTACCTAAATTACGTAAAATTTAGTGACGGGTCCTATATTAAATAAGTCTGCTAATAAACAAGTATTTGAGTCAGACAAGTACGTGTTGTCAAAACACAGTGTGTTCGTAGGATTTGGTTGTTGCAACCATGGAATGTTTATGTTGAATTTGTTTCTAATATTTCTTGCATAGTTTCCAAATCAAAGGGCAATTCATTCTTGTGGCATGCTAGACACATGAAAAATACTAGATATGTCTAAGGTGGATTTAATTTCTGAGATTGATGTTACAAAAAACAAGTGTTAAATTGTGCGTTAACAAAATCACAAAGAAACAACTTAAAGAGATCACTCGAGAATCTAAAATTCTTGAATTGATCCATAGTGATCTCTATAATTTTCTTTCAACACTGTCATTGGGAAATAAAAATTATGTTATGACCTACACAAATGATGCAACAAGGTATTTCTACGTGTATTTTTTCCATGCAAAGCATGAAGCTTTGGAAAAATTCAAGGTTTGTAAAACTGAAGTTGAACTAAAACTTGGTGCATCAATTAACACGTTGTTTACGGATTGAGGAAGGGATTATTTTGATTCCCTAATTTTCCAAACTGTTGGGATAATATGTGAAACTGCAGCTCCTTATACACCACAACAAAAGGTGTAGCCAAAAGGGAAAATACGGCGTTGAAAATGAAGGTAAATTCTATTATGTTATTTTCCGGTTTGAGTGAAGGATTTTGGGAAAAACTATGCTAACGGTTTGCTTTATATTAAATAGTGACCAAAAAAATGTAACAAAGTTACTCCCTATGAGCTTTGGTACAAGAAGCGGCCCAACTTAACAAATGAATCACACTATGCGATCTTCGATGAAGAACGTTTCACATTGTTGCCCAAACCTTTGTCTAGTGTCAAACCCACCAGGTATGATGACCACGAGAATGATAAGCATTTATCTTTGGATGTGACCGTATATGAAAATGGGGATGAAAATCAGTATGTTTATGAAATTAATCAGCGGGTTGAACTTCGAAAAAGTAAAAGGGCTAGAAAACCAAAGTCCTTAGGTCCCGACTTCCATCTTTATTTATTTTTAGGATCGGGAGATAAGATTGGATCTCCATATTAATATTGTTATATTTTAGGGGATAATCCAAGAACGTATAAAAAGGCCATGAGATCTCGGGATGCTTTCTTTCGGAAGGAAGCTATTAATGACGAGATTAACTCTATTTTAGAAAACAACACTTAGGTGTTGTCTGATATACCGCTAGGATGTAAGCCTTTGGGTTGCAAATGGAGTTTGAAAAGGAAAATAAAATATTATAGGAACATTGATAAATTTAAGGTTTGATTGGTCAACCAAAGGTTTAGACAAAAAGAAGGTATTCATGACTGCGGTATGTATACACCGGTTGTACGTATCACTACTATAAGATTGTTGGTTGGTTTGGCTGTAATTTACAATGTTTTTATCCATCAAATGAATGTTGATATAGTTTTCCTAAATGACTATTTTGGGGAGGAAGTGTACATGAAGCAACTAGAAGGTTTTATTGGATCAGGAAACAAACACAAGGCGTGTAAGCCTATTAAGACATTACATGTCTTGAAACAAGCTCCCAAACAATGGCATCAAATGTTTGATCAAGTTGTATTATCAAATAGTTTTGTTTTAAACCAATCGAACAAGTGTGTATATATAATAGGCTTGACAATAGTGGAAAAAGAGTTATCATTTGCTCATATGTTGATGGCACGTTGATCTTCGGGACAGATCAAAGAAAAGTAGATGAAACAAAAAGATTTCTCATATCTAAGTTCTCTACGTAGGACTTAGGAGTTGCCGACATGATTCTTGAAATTAAGTTTATTCAAGAACACAATGGAATTACAATTACACAATCGCATTACATTGAGAGCATTCTAAAAAAATTCAATTGTGAAATTTTACTCCAGTTGGCACACTTTGGGATCCTAGTGTGAAGTTTAATCCTATCACCGGGAAATCCGTCTCCCAACTTGAATATTGGAGGTCCATAGGTAGCTTCATGTATGCTATGACAAGTATAAAGATGGATATTGCAAATGTCGTGGGGAGATAAAGGCGATTTACTAGGTATCCAAGTATACATTAGTGGAAAACACTTAAAATAGTATTCACGAGCTTGAAGTTGACTATAAATTATGGCTTATCGTATATTGTTTTTTAAGGCAAATAATATAAAATAAAAAGAGAATAATAAAATATATGGGGATAATCAAAAAATATTCACTCAAAAAATATATATATATGTCAATTTACTTGCACATCATATATATATATAAACAATTCAAACTACTACCATAAATATATTAATTACCCTCATTAACTTCTAATTCAAATAATTCACAAATGACAATTAACTCACAAATTCAAATTCAAATTATTCATTAATAATATTTAATTAACCAATTCAATTATCATTTAATTAAAATTCAATTTAATTTTCCATCAAATGCCTCCCGTAAATTGAATTTGCTCTTAACTCCCAAAGCAGCAACATTTCTTAAGAAAGTGGGTCCACCAAGCGGTTTTGTGAAGATATCAGCCAACTGCTTTTCACTTGGGCAATATGTAATGTCAATGTCACCTTCATTAACAAGATCCCTTAAGAAGTGAAAGCGAAGACGGAGATGTGTTGATCTTCCATGAAAGACCGGATCTTTGGAAACAGAGATAGTCGATTTATTGTCACAGAACAATGTCGTAAGAGCATGCTCCTTGAAGCTCAAACTCTCAAGGATTCCTCTAAGCCACACAATTTGACTCCCAGCCAAAGATGCCGCTATGTACTCTGATTCGGTGGTGGAAAGTACCACAATTGGTTGTTTTTTCGAACTCCATGAAACAACTCCACCTCCAAGATTAAACACATAGCCAGATGTACTTCGAGAATCATCACAGCTTCCTTCCAAGTCACTATCCGTATAGCCAACAAGTTTGATGGGAACGTTAGCTTCATAATATATGCCATAATCCAATGTCCCTTTCACGTACCTTAAAATTCTTTTGGCAGCCTCCCAAGGATTCGAGAATGGCTTCTCCATGAATCTGCTAACCAAGCTCACAGCGAACATGATGTCAGGCTGAGTGGCTGTAAGGTACATCAAGTTTCCGATTAGGCTGCGAAACATTGTTGTGTCAACCATCTTTTCTTCTCCATTTTTGCTCAACTTCAAACCTGTTACGCAAGGGGTTGTTACTGGATTGGCATGTTCCATATTGAATTTTCTTAGAACCTCAACTGCATATTTTTCTTGAGAAATGAAAATTCCAGATTTTGATTGTTCAACCTTGATCCCAAGAAAATGATGCAATTCTCCCAAATGACTCATCTCAAATTCCTTCATTATAGCCGCTTTAAAATTCTCAAGCGTCTTCAAATCATTTCCAGTGAAGATAAGATCGTCAACATAAAGGCTCACAATCATAACACCGCCATTGTAATATTTTTGACATAGACAGTATGCTCGAGTGGGCATCTCTCAAAGCCAAACTTCAAGAAAAATTCATTAATGCTTCTGTACCATGCTCGAGGCGACTGCTTCAACCCATAAAGAGTTTTTATGAGTTTATAAACTTTGTGTTCCTCGCCTTTTCAAACAAATCCAGAAGGTTGCTCCAAGTAAATTTCTTCTTGAATAAATCCATTCAAGAATGCGGATTTCACATCCATTTGGAATAATTTCCAACCATTTTGAGCTGCAAGTGAAAGAATCAATCGAATCGTATCAAGCCTAGAAATGGGAGCAAATACCTCATTAAAGTCTTCTCCTTCTTTTTGCTTGTAGCCCTTCGCAACCAATCTTGCTTTATATTTGTTGACTGATCCATCAAGATTTGTTTTTGTCTTGAACACCCATTTTACACCAATTGGAGATTTATGTGGAGGCAAATTTGTAAGCTCCCAAGTGTCATTCTTCTCGATGGAATTAATCTCCTCTTTCATGGCTTGCACCCATTTCTTCTCCTTGGCTGCTTCTTCATACGAGATTGGATCTACCCCTGCAAAGAAAGTAAAGTACACTTGGTTTGGCCCATCAATCGCTTCAGTTTCATCGTAAAGTTCTCACATTGGCAGGTTCTTAATTTTGAAGATGTTGATACTCTGCAGCAAAACATTGGTGAAGAAGAACCCGCTGAAAATTCTGCAGCTCCAACGGCGAGAAGGACAAGGTTTGAAGGCAAATAATATAAAATAAAAGGAGAATAATAAAATATATGGGGATAATCAAGAAATATTCACTCAAAAAAATATATATATCAATTTACTTACACATCATATATATATATATAAACAATTCAAACTACTACCATAAATATATTAATTACCCTCATAACTTCTAATTCAAATAATTCACAAATGACAATTAATTCACAAATTCAAAATTCAAAATTCAAATTCAAATTATTCATTAATAATATTTAATTAACCAATTCAATTATCATTTAATTAAAATTTAATTTAATTTTCCATCAGTTTTCCCTTTAGTTTTGGAAGGGTACTCGAACACAAGTTGGATAAGTCATGTAGAAGATCATTCTTTCACCACTAGATGGACATTTTTGCTTGGGGCTGCCATTTGTTGGGCTTTCAAGAAGCAGAAGTGCATCACAAGTTTGATGATTGAATCTGAATTTGTAGCTTCATAACTTGATATATGAGATTCTATTATAGCCAAAACCGGTACCATCCATTTCTATTTGTTGTGATAGTGCTTCAACGATGTCTAAAGCTTATAGTGAAGTCTTAATGAGAAGTGTCGACACATAGGTATAAGACATAACTTGATTCGTGAGCTAATCATAAATGGGGTGATATCGGTTGAGTTTATTCGGTCGTAACATAATTTAGCAGATTGTTTGATGAAAGGGTTGACAAGAGACTTCGTGCACAAGTCGTCGATTGGTATGGGATTAAAGTTCATCTAAATTTTGCTAGTGTGAGACACCTAATTCTCTTCTAGCACAATGTTAGAAGCTAAATTAAATATGGAATGCTCATACCAGGGAGACTGGAATGCAATTTATTCAAACATCATGGGTATGCTTTCAAACCTGCTAGAACCGAAGGTTGAGATCATATCTCATAATAACCCCTTTCACTACAAGAAAAAATCATTTTTGTAACAGAACTTTTTTGTCTCTAAATCTACTTTTTCCGTTACTAATGACATTAGAGACGGAATTAGGAACGGAATTACGTTAGCTACGTGAACTTTAGGGACGGAATTCCGTTACAAATATATTATTTTTTTGTAGTGTTTGAAAAATTACTTATATAGGAGCAAGACTAAAGGAACTATTTCTACAAGCAGGAAGTTTTGCCACTTCAAGAAACTTAGGACTTGCTTTTGATGTGCTCGTGAATGGATATAGACACATGGCTTGTAAAGTGTCAAGTTAGAACCAAGAGAATTGTATGTTCATGTGTACACGACCTACATATATTCAAATGAGTTGAAAGGTTCAATCTTAAGGACACCTTGATTCTCGAATATTTGTAAAGTGTAACATACTAATGCGAAAATTGAATCTTGAAGATATTTTTCGTTTATTCATGGATTTATTGTCTATGGTTGAGATTTCTTTTATAAATAAATTGGAGATTATACTAAAGTCTAGGATGTTTCCATAGATAGTACAAGAAAAATAAGCAAAGTAATAATCATAAGGAAGATTTCATGGATTTGGAGGATCGTGAACAAAATATCCATGTGGGATTGAGGTTTTTGATAAGTAGAAGCCTGCATAGCAAGCTATTTGGGTTCCCAGGGATAGATTGGTATCGAGAATACGTATTACCAAAAATAAAAGAATATTAAAACAAAAACAACAGAAATTATTATTATTATTATTATTATTATTATTATTATTATTATTATTGTAAAATTATTCTATTTGAAATTTGAAAACATTATCCTTTATGATAAACTACAAACATTGAATGAGATTCTCCACTTTTACTTAAGTTTTTAGTGTTGACAGATTTTATGGAGTCTAAAACTGACTTGAAACTAATAATTGAAATGAGCCATAAATCTATATGGAACTAATCGTTCACAACTAAGATTTTTAAGCCACTTGAATTTGTTTGTATGATTTGTATCTTAATATTACTGATCTATAGAGTATTCAACATTACGTTGAAATTTGCATAGTAACTGCATATTTTTTGTCTTCGTATTTCAGATTTTAGAGCATTTGAGAGATGGCTGTAGCTGCCTATGCATCCTTGGTTTCTCTTACTCATGTCCTTGACAATGTTCATTACCGTGCTCAATGTCGTCGCCTTCATGTGGACATAAAACAGATTGAATCTCTTCTAGAAGATGTCAGTTTATTGTTGGAATTCATTGAAGTTCACTCTGAAAGAAGAGTCCCGAAGATAGAAGATCTGTGGAAACAAATATCCAATGCTTGTTATAAAGCAGAAATATTTTTTGATTTACATGTAGTGAATCAATTTCTTGTAGGATCTGAAGGACAAGATAATGATATGGGCTTCATAGCTTTCCAAAAAGATTTAGACAAAATGATCCAAAAGATTAGCTACATCAAGAGAGAGTTTTCAACGGTAGAAAATGCAGTGGAGGAGGTCAATGTGATAAGAAGGAAAACAACGATAAGTTCAATGTTCCAAGAACGAAAACAATCTAGAGCATTAGTTCCTACAAGAGGTTCTTCAGCCGCTAGTTCTTTCAGTGTCAAGAATATCATTGTGGGACTTGATGAAGATGTTCTGAAGATTAAGGGCGAGCTAGCTAGAGATGCGGCCAATCTCCAAATCATCCCCATCGTTGGAATGGGGGGTATTGGCAAGACTACTCTAGCTAAAAAAGTTTTTGAGGATAAATATACTGCTGAAACATTTGATGTGCGCATTTGGATTACAATATCTCAGGACTATAGCATTGGTGATATCCTTCAAGGTCTTATAAATGATGGGAAAGTTGAAAGAAGTGGTGGAAAATTAGATGGACCTGGCGAAGCATTGTACAAAATGTTATTTGCTAGAAGATACTTGATTGTAATGGATGATGTGTGGACTCAGAAAGCTTGGAATGATTTGAACAAATTCTTCCCAGATAATGGAAATGGAAGTCGGATTATAATTACCACTCGACTGAAACAAGTAGCTGGTTCTTTAGCCTCTCACGACCCTTATGTGATGACATTTTTAGATGAGAAGTCAAGTTGGAAAATATTTTGTCAAATTGCATTTGGAGAAGAAGACTGTCCGTATCGGAAATTGGAGCAATTTGGAAGAGAGATCGTAAAAAGTTGTAGAGGACTTCCTTTGGCAATTACTGTTCTAGCGGGGCTGCTTGCAAATTCTGGGATGAAGAAAGAAAATTGGAAACTAGTTGCTAAAAATGTAACTTCTTTTGGAAATTCAGGATATGATGAACATTGCTTGAAGGTACTGTCTTTAAGTTATACAAATTTGCCGATGCACCTTAAGCCATGTTTCCTCTTTTTGGGGTCTTATCCTGAAGATAGTATGATTGAGGTCAGTGTACTAATGCAAAAATGGATTGCTAATGGATTTCTAAGATCAGTGAACCATAAAAGTCTTGAGGAAACAGCCATGGAATTCATGAAAGATCTCCTTGCCAGGAATCTAATTTTTCTCCATGATCGGACAGATCCTCGTGAAATAGAAACGTGTGGTATACATGATCTGTTACGAGATCTATGTCTAAAGGAGATGGACAAGGAACATTTTAATAGAATACCAAAGGAGCAAGAATCAAAAATCATGGGACTAGTAACTCGGTGCTTTCTTTGTTGTAATGCCGCCACTGATGATAATCCGGTATCTGCCCCGAAATATGTTCTTGTATCCCCATCACCATCATCAAAAGATTCAAAACCAGTTTCTAGACGCATTTGCGGTCCTTGTGAAAGGATGTATCCACATGCTACAAGGGCGAGGATGGTGGGGGTGATGAGTAGTACACCTGGTCTATTATTCATGCATCCTACTCATGTTCGGTATGTTTCGCTGTTCAGTTATTTCCGGGTGGAATCTGTATTGCCATGTCTGCAGCTATTGTGGAATCTTCAGATTTTAAAGATAGAAACATTCATCTTTGGGGTGCCTAGACCAATAGTTTTTCCGAATGAAATTTGGGAAATGCCGCAACTTAGGCATATTGAAGTTAGCGGTCAGTGTAGAGCTATTTTTCCTGAAGCTGTAGTAGCTCCTGTTGATGGGAAATGTGTTGTTGTTCTCAAAGAATTTCAGACCCTTTCTGGAGTAATGAATTTCAAGTGCACAAATGATGTCTTGGACAGAATTCCAAATCTAAGGAAGTTGGAAATTTCATATGATCAAGAGTATGAAGGAAGCATGAGAGCATCGAATTATTTTCTTTCTAATCTTACCCAACTTCAAAAACTTCAGTCACTGGAAATATATAACCCACCAGAGAATAATATTACATTTCCAAGTTCTCTTAAAGAGTTGCGTTTGGAGAAAATGTAGGATTCCTTGGAGCAGTATGTCGACCATTGGCTCGCTGCCCAATCTTGAGAAACTTCGTTTGTTTAATGCTACTGAAGGGTCTGAATGGAAGCCTAATGAAGGGGAATTTCGTCAATTAAAAGAACTCGATATTTCATGTGCTTATCTAGTACAATGGGAAGCTGATTATATCCATTACCCTCTCCTCGAGTATCTTCGACTTTCTCATTCAGCTTTATTGGAAGAAATCCCTTTAGGCATTGGAGATATTCCAACATTATGTAGGATTAAATTGATTGGCTGCAACAGATCTGTTATTGATTCAGCAGCTCAAATATGGATGGAACAAGAGAGCATGGGAAATGAGACACTTGAGATTTTAGTCTTTAACAATACAAGTCTTCTCTATGCGGAAGAATGGATCTCAGTGAGTGATTTCATAACAAAAGACAGGGAAGAAGATGGCTCTGAAGATGATTTATAGGTATTTCAGAAGAACCAAACCCTAATTCTTTTCTCAAACTCTAATACTTGTGCTCATTAGTTTTCTTGCTTCAACTTGCTAGATTTCTCAGAGGTTTTGGTAAAGCATACAGTAAGCACATTTGCTTTATTAAAATGTTCATAATATCTTATGTTTCGTTTATGCACAAAATCCTCTTATATTAATTTTAAATATGAATAGAATACACATTATGTTTAAAAATGGCGAGTAAGAATCACAGGCATAGCTCTTTTTACTTTTGGATAGAAAGATTGTTATATTCAAATTTCATGGTAAAACATATATGTTTCGTTTATTTCTAATAAAACACAAGGGTGTAGTATGTATATACTATACCTTTATTTTCTAATATATTTATATATTTACAAATTTGACTTGTGTCAAATTTACAGGTTGAAGCATGAAGGCCAAATAAAAATGTGTGGTTTGGTAAGTTGCTATAAATTGTTGAAAAAGGACTGGTTGCGAAGCATAAAGATGATATTTTTTAGTGTTGATAATGTTCTCTTCTATTATCAGTTCTTTTTATTTTTATTTTTTTGTCGACTATGTATGATATTGGATATTATTCTGGACGTAGAATTGTTAGAGAATGATCCTAAGATTGATGTTTGAAGAAATTTATGTTTAATTCCTGCTATTTGCTTGGAAATATTCTTCTAGCATTTGACAATAACATGCATATAAAATTAAATGTCAAATTCCTAAACTAATTATTCTATTGAATTAGACAATCAATATTCATTTCTCTCAAGCAAAACCCTATGTGTAAGAAGCTAAGACCTGAGGCGGAGTTTAAACTCATGACTTGACTGAACCAAAGCCAAATTATTTGAAATACTTGAAATATGGATTAGTTGTTCTTCTCAAGTTTGCTTTTGTTATTTATTTATTTATTTTTCTATTTCATTTTGCTTGCCTTATGCTTAATTAATTATTTAGTTCATCATTTTTCTTGCCTACCTTGTTCAGCATGTGGCCATAGATTACAATTGTCAAGTACAGAAGATTCAAAATGAAACGTTTCGTTTGAAGTTGTTCATTCACTACAAGAAAATATCATTTTTGTAACGAGATTTTTTCGTCTTTAAATTCACTTTTCCGTTACTAATGATATTAGAGACGGAATTAATGATGGAATTACGTTAGCTACGTGATCTTTAGTAACAGAATTCCGTTATAAATATACTATTTTTTTTTTGTAGTGCTTCAGCATCATTAAAATGCTTTTGTTGCAGATAAGGTGATGTCTCCCACACCTTAAAGGAACATTTTGTCGCCCTTGACACCGAAGATATTTCAATCTTTGCTTCTGAAAATGTTTTAATTTCCATCGGCTGGTTAGAAGAAAATCCATTCGACAAAGAAATAAGGAAGAATATCATGAAAGAGTGATAAAAATGCAATTGAGAACCCTATTGAATATCTTGTTGACATCATAGAAGCAGTGGAGGAACAAGAGGTTGATGCTAATAGGTAGTAAAATATGAAATTTTATCAAATAAAAAATGTAAAATTGTTCATAACTCCAATGTGGTTTCGAAATTTACTTTAAAATATCTTTGTACTTTAAAAATTGTATGACACCTGCTATATTTCAAAAAACGTTGCATAAAATCCCACCACCATGAAATTTCCCTTGTATAATGCAATTTTTTAAAGTGACACAGTGAGATTTCATACAATATTTTTTAAAATAGAAGGGACATCATGCAATTTTTAAGGCAAAGAGAAATTTACGTTGAATTTCGAAACTACAAAGAAGTTATTGACAATTTTGCCAATAAAGAAAACAACAAACAAGGAATATCTTCTGATCCAATTAAAAGGTTGACACCTAAAATCCCATATGAACCCTAAAAACTTCTAATTCAACATATTTAATGAGTCCTCATCAGACTCTAGTGGCCTGATAATAAGATAATCGTATTATTACACCTAATAATTGTTGATGTATTTTTTCAACAAATAAAAAGTAAAATTCAAAATATGGAAAATATCTTTAAACTTGATTAATTAGTGCTGAGATTATGAATCTCTAAACAACTGTACGGTACATATGATAATTAACTGGAAAATAAAATGCTGGAAATTTAAAGTGGTGATCCCCGAATTTGACTTTGCTTTGTTGAAGTTGATTGAAGATAATCTGCTAGTTGCTGACCCAAATCCTTAAATATTCCTCAGAAGAAACGTTTCAGAACCGTCGCCAGCAACCGCCGTCAACCGCCCAAAAGAAACGTTTTGAAACGTCGCCTGGTCAATTACAGCAACCGTCTCGCCAACCGCATAACCCAACCGACTAATCCAGCGCCTAACTGGTCGCTAGACCAAAAGACTCCTTGGCCGCCCCCACCAAGCGACCAAACTACTGTTCACTTAAATGGGCAGCCGACTTTACTTGGTCCGACCACGTACTAACCGACTTGCTTATCCGACCTGCTGACCAACCGACTTGCAGACTTTCTGACCTATGGACTATCCGACCCGCTAACCAACCGACCTGACTATCTGACCGCAGACCTTCCGACATGCAGACTTTTCGACCTATGGACCATCCGACCCGCTAACCAACCGACCTGACTATCCGACCGCAGACCTTCTGACCTGCCGATCCGACCGAGGACCAACCGACCTAACCAACCCGACTGCGGACCAACTGACCTGACCAACCGACCAAGGACCAACCGACCTGACCAACCGACCTGACCAACCGACCTGGGCGCAAATTTCTCTTCTTTTTCACCTGACTTCATGTCTAACTTCCTTTAGGATCCTGCTATCCTTATTTTTATTATTATTATTTATTTTTTTGTACGTAACAATAAGCCTCCTCCTCAAGACTCCTAAGCATCACTTCCAGTGATGTTTTAGGAGTTTGCAGGCCGTTATCCGAGGCCACATCAGCCTCAGATCCGACCTCCTTCTCTCGAGGCTACGTTGGTTCCGACCTCCATTCATCGTAGACTGACGGTGGCCTGCACGTTGGTCGACCTTGCACTACCATGTCTTCAACACTTCTTCTCTGACAGAAGCCGTGATTATGTTCTTTAAAAAGGGATTCTAATCTCCCTACCTTGGACGCTAAACTGACCAAATCGTGAATGTCATGAGCCGTCAAAGCCTTCCGTAATGGTGCATGCATATTCCTGACCACCAAATTGGTCATTTCTTTTTTCATTATTTATAGTAGGACAACGTCTTTGCATCAATCGCACCCTTTTGATAAACTGTGAAGCTGACTGTTCTGGATATTGTTTTAATTCCAACAAATCAGTAAGAGAAACAATCGGCAAAGGAGTGAAGAATCTAGCATGAAAAGCCATCTCCAAACCCTCCCACATTTGTATTTGCCCAGGTGGCAAATTTACAAACCATGAAAATGTTGTCCTGGTGAGAGACATTCCAAACAGTTGTAATTTGTAGAAAGGATTGTTACCGATTTCCACTAACTGTGCTGTGAACCGACCAACATGCTCTATGGTGGAGGATCCGTCTTCTCCTGAGATAACATGAAAGTCTGGCGATCGATAACTCCTCGAGAGAGGATAATCGTTGATGATTCTTTCCGGAAATGGCCTCTGATACACCGGTCGGTTTATCGTTTGCGGATTCATTCCGAAATGTACCCGCAAGACTTGAGCGATGTCCTCCGGATCTACTCTGGGTGGAACAGGGTCGAATACAGGAATGGAATTATGAGCCTGTTCCCCCAACCTCTCTTTTCTGGGGACGTTTGGCTCGACTGGGATGGGATTATGAGTTTGTCCCCCCAATCTCTCTTCCATCACGATATGCGGCTGCGGATTATCGCCTATCGGTCCCAAAGGAACATTATCTGGGAAAGTTAAAGGAGTCTTCCCCATATCTGTTCGGTTGAAAGTTGTGACGCTTGGAAATGTATTGTCAACGTACGTTGGCCCTGCAAGCGTTGATCCTGGAAAAGTCGCCTGAAAACGAGCATGTGACACGGCTTGAGGCATGTTTGGATACAGGGTGAATCTGGAGAATACGTGATCCAACATGTTCTGCATTATATTTTGTTATTCACGCAACATGTTCTGCATAAACACAGTTTGCTGATTGTTCATTTGCTGAACATAAGACAACCAATCGGTAGGTGGTTGGGGAATCTCCCCTGGATTTTGCATGACTAGTGGTGAAACATTTTCTCCCACCGGTGCTGATGATGATTGAGGTTGTGTGCCTGTCATATTGATTTTTCTGATGATTCGGCCGGACCTCAGTCGTATGAAACTCTCTGTTGATGTAGGATCAGCAATCTTGCCTTTCTCCCACTGTGGTCGCCAATTTGTTGATGTATTTTTTCAACAAACAAAAAATAAAATTCAAAGATATGAAAAATATCTTTAAACTTGATTAATTAGTGCTTCAGATTAGGAATCTCTAAACAACTGTACGGTACAAATGATAATTAACTGGAAAATAAAATGCTGGAAATTTAAAGTGGTGATCCCCGAATCTAACATTGCTTTGTTGAAGTTGATTGAAGATAATCTGCCAGTTGCTGACCCAAAACCTTAAATATTCCTCAGAAGAAACATTTCAGAACCGTCGCCAGCAACCGCCGTCAACCGCCCAAAAGAAACGTTTTGAAACATCGCCTGGTCAGTTACAGCAACCGTCTCGCCAACCACATAACCCAACTGACTAATCCAGCGCCTAGCTGGTCGCTAGACCAAAAAACTCCTTGGCCGCCTCCACCAAGCGACCAAACTACTGTTCACTTAAATAGGCAGCCGACTTTACTTGGTCCGACCACGTACTAACCAACTTGCTTATCCGACCTGCTGACCAACCGACCTGCAGACTTCCCGACCTATAGACCATCCGACCGGCTAACCAACCGACCTGACTATCCGACCGTAGACCTTCCGACCTGCAGACTTTTCGACCTATGGACCATCCGACCCGCTAACCAACCGACCTGACTATCCGACCTGCAGACTTTTCGACCTATGGACCATCCGACCCGCTAACCAACCGACCTGACTATCCAACCGTAGACCTTCCGACCTGCCGATCCGACCGAGGACCAACCAACCTGACCAACTGACCTGACCAACCGACCTGGGCGCAAATTTCTCTTCTTTTTCACCTGACTTCATGTCTCACTTCCTTTAGGATCCTGCTATCTTTATTTTTATTATTATTATTTATTTATTGTACGTAACAATAATATAATGAAATATGAAACTCAAAACAGAAATAACTATAGTGCTACTATCAACTCAAAGTGAATTGTTTCCCTCCAAACCAGACGCGAGTAAGCCACTAGCAATTGATCCTCCTAACATTGTCATGATTCGTTGATATCAAATGCTGCCGAGGATATCGAAGGATCTGCTGATGATCCATCGGTTATCCAAACAACCGATGAAGATGACAACGATGTACCATTGTCCTTGTTCCTTAGGAAATGAGGTTAAAGAACTCGAGGTTTTTCTAGGCTCCGGAAATATCTGATGAATTTAATCTCAATTTCAATTTTAAGAGAAAACAAGTTTCAGCTCAGGGAGCTAATTGCTGAGACATTTGCATTTGATCAGTTTAGTAGGTGAAAACATTTGAGCAGCTGGGCATGGCGTGCTCTTTCATTTTGGTTTTTTTCCAAATTTTGGTCAAAGAGCTATTTGCAAACCTATATGCTGATGTGAATATGATAGATTAGAAATTGAAATGGTTGCACAGGATATACATTTCAGATTATCAATTGATTCCTCAAACTCAAACTACCTGCAAATGAGCGTAATATTAAATAGGATCTTGGTCAAGTTTATTGTGTGCAGCCTGGATTACCATTGACTGCTACTCAAATCCTTTGCCTTTGATGTCTCCATTGATGACACATAGAAACGTTTCCACGGAAGTTAGCGATGGAATAGATTGCCGTCGCTAACTGCATTGAGACGAAGCACTTAAGACTCGCGACCAACAACAGTCTGTGATGGTAATCCGTCGCAGAATCCAATTAAAAAAAGCCCTACCCAGCGCCTTTCAATTTCGTACTTCACACGCACATCCCACGCCCAATGGCAATGGTAAGTCAATTTATTTTTTGGAATTTTTTTTTTTTTTTTTCATTTTTACTGCGACCGACCGCTATGGCAGTCGTCCGCGCGCCAGACCCCCGCGCCGCCCGGGAGGCAACCAGCTGCCGTTCTGCCGTTGCAACAGCTTGGAGAACATGTTTGTTGGGAGGGCCCTCAAAATAAATTTTTTATTTTTTATTTTTAAATTTTTTGGAAATTTATGAATAAAATAAAATAGTACTATGATTTTATAAAGTTATTTTATTGTTTTAGTTTGCTAACAAAATACAAATTTCATAATATTATTGTGTTGTTTTAGTTTACTAATAAATTGTACTTTAATTGTAAGTGTACAAAAAAAAAATGTAATAATTTAAGAATTATAAATTATATCAGTAAACACCAGGTTAAAGCTAGTTTAGTTTTGATATATAAACACTTTATTTTATAATATAGATTTTAATACATTATCTATTTTTTTTTAATACTATTTTCGTCCGACTCTAATGATCATATTTATTTTTTGTTCTAAAGGTTATATTTATTTTTTTTGTATTTTGATATTTGAATATTAATTATTATATCAAAATATAATACAAATCAAGAGAAAATGATAAAAAAATACTTATATTAGTGTTTTATAATACAAATATAATGATATTTGTAAAAAAAAAATTATACAAATATAAAAATATTTTAAATTTTCGTCAAATTTATTCTTTTTTTATTTATTCATCAAATTTATTTACGTTCTTCCTTTCCGTCCGCTGGTTAAATTTACTTAATTACTATGTTTGAAAAAAAAATCTTTAATTATTACTTTTAAAATATACGTGTATTCAATTCATACTTTAAAGGTCTGTATTCAATCCAAACTTTTAAAAGTCTATAAGTATTCAATACATACATTTAACAATCCACAAACTTTGAAAGTTTATAAATTTTAATGGAAAATTGTAAAAATTTGGTATAGTATAAAATTATTATTGTTGTTGTTGTTGTTGTTGTTTATGCAGCTGCTATTGTTATTGTTGTTGTTGTTGTTGCTGCTGCTGTTGTTGTTGTGTAAGTGATAAATAATGTGATAATATTTATTAATATTCTTATCAATTTTTTAAAAATAATAAATATATTTTACTTTCGTCTTTTCTTTTCAATTATCGAATATAATATATTGTTATTCCGGTGTCATTCTCATTATTCAATTATCGAATACACTATATTGTCATTCCGGTAAAGTGAAATGGATATTTAAATATATATATTTTGTTGAACCGTTAATTTATATTTATTTACTTTTTAATTTTAATATTTTTTTTCAAAAATCATAAATTTTTTTTCTTATTATTTTTATATACATATTTAATTTTTATGTAAAAAAAGTATATAAATAATAATAATAATAATAACTAATAAAGAAATATAAAACTAATTTGATATATGAATGGTAATATAATACTAAATTATAAAATTAAAAATATTAATATATAATATAGTAGTATTACATATGTTACAATGCATCTACATTATTAATAATATAATTAATATTAAATTTTATTTTATAAAATTATAATAATATATAATAACTTTAATTATAAATATATTATATGTATAAAACTTGTGTTTTAATAATATATAAGTAACTTTAATTATAATATATTATATTTATAAAATTTGTGTTTGATAGAAATTTATATAATTATATATATCTATAAAAAATTATTTTATAATCCTTCGAAATCAATATAAATCTATAATGAATTATATCAAATCTATAAAAATCCATATCAATTACTAAAATTCATCAGACTAGCGTAGATTTTGTGGATTTTTTAAATCCACGTAAATCTAGACTTTTTAAAATCCAAAATAATTCGTTGAAATCTCAATTGAACAAACCTCCCTAAATGTCGGATCCAAATAAGCTAAATATGATGAACGAAAGAAGTACTATATATTGTGACTAAATTTGATTTAAAATATTAAATTAAAAATATTGATATATAAAAAATACTCCATGCCTCACATTTAAATTGACATATTTGATTAAAGATACAATTTTTAAAATAATAATATTTAATTAGTTAATAATAGTACCTTTGGTTCGAAGGGTTTTATTTACTTTTTGTATGTTGATATTTGAATGTTAATTATTATATCAAAATTTAGTACAAATTAAAAAAAAAATTGCAAAATTACTTTCATTAGTGTCTTATAATAGCAATAGAATGACCTTTGTAAAAAAAAAAATATACAAATATAAGAATATGTATAATATTAAGTTGAAACTCTTAGAGGCGAACGGAGGTAGTAGTAAATTACACTACAAAAAAAATAATATATTTGTAACTGAATTTCGTTTCTAAAGTTCACGTAGCCAACATAATTTCATCTCTAATTCCGTCTCTAATATCATTAGTAACAGAAAAAGTGAATTTAGAAACGAAAAAATCTCGTTACAAAATTGATAATTTCTTGTAGTGTTATGATATTATTTTGTTATTTTTTATGTAAGAGTTATTGTTAGTAATTTTAAAATAAAAAATAATACTATACATAATTAAAATAAATTTAGAATATATATTAAATATTTTAAAATTATATCTAAATAAAATATATGCAATATGAATATTATTTTACAGATAATAAAATTTTATATAATATAAATAAAAAATTATATTTATATATTTATGATTAACAGAAACTAATTTTATAAAAAAAAATAAAACGAGAAATTTTAAATGTAGATAATAAATATTTGTTTATTAAATAGATAAATAGAAATAAAGGAGTTTTGAATAATTCTTACATGATATATGATGTTATAAGTTAATTTATATTTGTTAAGCATATATTAAATTACTAAAATTTACAACATCTAGAAAGATATTCTTTGTTAAGGAATAGATAAAGAAAACTTGTACCATTTGTTATAAGACGGATGGAGCATTATCTATGCATATACTTCGATA